TAATTCGCGGACGAGGGATCTCAGGTGGGAGCAGGAGACGGTGTCGAGGATGGTGCAGAAGCTTTTCACCAAACTTGCAGATGAGGTCATGGTGATGATCAGAGAGAGCCGAGAGGGTCAGTTTGTTGAACGCTTCTTGATATGTGGAGTAGGAATAAGAGAGAATAAACTTACATTCATTCTTCTGTACCTTTTCTTGGTGTTTCCGCTGTGTGGCATTTAGGGAGAAAGACCAGACAGGAGATGCATAGGCGAGGTTGGAAATTCCGAGGGACTTGAGACGGAGGAGGAGGTGGAGATGAAAACTGGAGGACTTGCTAATTGTACTGACGTGTGTTTTCCAATTTAGTTTGTTATCTATAGTGACACTGAGGTGCTTAGTAGAGTCCACAACCTGGTGTGTGTGTGTGTGTGTGTGTGTGTGTGTGTGTGTGTGTGTGGACGGAAATATACTAGAGGGAAGGTAAAGCTTAAAACAAGTATTTCAAGGCATGAACGAGGTGTATGATGATGAAGTTTAACAAGAACTACAGCGCGAAGTATTGGAGATATGGTGAATAATGAATGGTGATGCAACATATAGATAGGGGGGGGTAGATTGTAATAGGGGTGGTGGGTAGACGGTTGTTGTAATAGGGGAGGGTGGTGGAGTAGACGGTTGTAATAGGGGAGGGTGGTGGAGTAGACGTTGTAATAGGGAGGGTGAGATGAGAGTAGACGGTTTTAATGGGGGGAGGGTGGTGGAGTAGATGGATTTTAATAGGGGAGGTGGTGGAGTAGACGGTTTAATAGGGGAGGGTGGTGGGAGTAGACGGTTGTAATAGGGGGGTGGTGGAGTAGACAGTGGTGGAGTAGACGGTTTAAATAGGGAGGTGGTGGAGTAGTTGTAATAGGGAGGTGGTTAGAGACAGTTTAAATAGGGAGAGGTGAGAGTTACGGTTTTAATAGTAGACGGATTGGGTGGTGGAGTAGACGGTCAGTTGAGGGAATTGGTGGAGTAGACGGTTGTAATAGGGAGGTGGTGGAGTAGACGGTTGTAATAGGGAGAGGGTAGACGGTTTTAATAGGGAGGTGGTGGAGTAGACGGTTGTAATAGGGGAGGGTGGTAGACGGAATAGGGGAGGGTGGTGGAGTAGACGGTTGTAATAATAGGAGAGGGTGGTGGAGTAGACGGTTTAATAGGAGGGTGGAGTAGACGGTTGTAATAGGGGATGGAGTAGACGGTTTTTAATGGGGGAGGTGGTGGGTAGACGGTTGTAATAGGGGAGGGTGGTGGAGTAGACGGTTGTAAGACGGTTGTAATAGGGGAGGGTGGTGGAGTAGACGGTTGTAATAGGGGAGGGTGGTGGAGTAGACGGTTGTAATAGGGGAGGGTGGTGGAGTAGACGGTTTTAATAGGGGAGGGTGGTGGAGTAGACGGTTGCCACCTTCACGTCCATATTAAGTATCAGTAATAAAATTCTCAAAGACTCGTAAGTTAAAAATTTTCTCCTAAATTGGTAATGTGAGAATGGATCTGTGGCCTCCAGGAGTGTTGACGTTATCGAGACTCCGTAATTATATACGTTTTTCTCCCACACACAAGGGTAAAAAAATGGATCACTGGACGTTTATCCCCCTGCTAATTTTATCTTACGATTAACCACCCTGACACTAGTAGCCTAACCCCCCCCCCCCCAAGTAACATTGAGGTGTTAATTAAATCATCTGGTTATATAAGTTGGGGGTTAATCTTGAGGTAATCCAAATAAATTAACGTGTGATTCACGAAGAATCTGACCCACATCTTACATCACTCCCCTTGTATAAGTTATGACATTCTATCTGGTGTCTGCCACCCACTGTGCCCACTCAAGGTGTTCCGTCACAGTACTCTACGTCAGCAACACGAAACACACTGTGCGTCGCGGAGACTAACCCACCTCAGTAAGTTAAATACATTAAAGAAACTACTCACAGTTGAGAAAGACGACTTAAACTACCAAGACTCACGCAAGACGCTGTAAAAGAACAAAAAGAAGGGGGGGGGGGTGGATGTACTGTACAGTACAGTACGTACCCAAATTACTGCGTGGCGTGGCACGTCCCACTTAGTCTGGAGCAGCTGTGAAATGTGACCACCTTAAAAAATCTTGAACTCTCTACAACAAACATGTTGTCACGAGGAGATAGCCAGAGACTGAATTTCCGAATGTTTGTAGGTTAAATTCTTTCAAGTTTTGTAGGAGAAAACCTATCTAATTGGCCATCTTAAGTTATGACACTTAACGTTTTAGTTATGTAAGAAAGTATTTTATTTACTTTCTTAAACTGAAAAACATACGAATTCTTAAAGCCTCTCGTTAAATGGTTTCCCTAACTATAGACGTGAAAATACATCTCTTTTACGTAAACTTTACGATACAAAGATATTCACAAGGGTTCAACCCCCAACCCTTCTCCTCGAATTGGATGTGATAAGAGCAACATCTAAGTGGGTCACCTTTTAAGCTACAACGTACAGTGCCAATGATGTGGGAATGAAACACAACAAACACACCTAGTGAGAGTGTATGAGAGGTGTAAATAAACGCTCGTGTTACTTTACTCCACACACTCACTGGGTAAACACAACGCACTCAATCGCTCGTTCATATTTTCATTTGCTGCTCTTGAATTCAGGAGAGTCGATTACCTGTTTTTTTTACCAAGTGTTTTATTATTATTTTTTGTTATGCATTTGTTTTTTGTTTGTTTATATATTATCTATATTCTGATAATGTGAAGATGTATACTCCAGCTGATTTAACCTAACCTAACCAAACGTAACCTGACGTAACTTGACTGACCCTAACCTACAGCAACTTAACCCCCTCAGGTAGCGTTAGGGTGTTTAATCGTCAGGTGAAATACGCCAGGATGTCTAATATTCAGGTGAACTTATATATCCCTTTCACTTTTGCGTAGGGTGGCACAATGGAAACAAAAACCTCAAGAAAGATAGGAAATATTAGAAGAAATTATTTTTGATGCATGACAAGTATAGAAAATTACAGTAAAGTGCTAAAATAACAGCTGGAAACACTCCATACACACACAACCATCTCACTAATGGTGACTCAGTTAAGGAAACTAATAATCATTTTGCAACTATATGCCAGATGCTCCTCCAGCTTGACACAATCTGTCTCAGTTTATCTACCACCCACCTCTCCCAGTGACTTATTGCAATAATTTGAAGTCGTTAGGGCAGTTAGGCGATTGGGCAAACTCAGGATCAACCTCTCTACTACCCATTGACCTACCAATGGGGTTCTACAAGGAGTTCTTCCCTGAACTAGCTAAACCCCTCTGCTCTATCATCAATGCTTCTCTCAGTCAAGCAAGATGCCCATCTGAGAAGAACACTTAATATGTGTCACCAGTGCCCTAGTTAACGAACCCTCAATCCTTAAACGAGTTACGACCCATTACCATCACCCCAATACCCAGGCTAATTTGTGAAGATTTCCTTTTGGCTGGGCTCATCCTGATTTGGCAACAAAAAAACTTCTTCCATCACCCACTGTCTCGCCAGTTTTCTAGATTACGTATACCGCCATCTCGAAAAACGTAAGACTTCTGTGGCTGTCGCCTTCATTGACTTCACTAAGGCATTCGACTCAGTCAATCACAACTTAATTACCAACAAAACCATCGACCTCGGGTTTCGGAGAAGTCTCATAACATGACTCATAGACTTCCTCAGTGACTGACGCCAAGCCGTATGCTTCCGAGGGGCTGTCTCCACGTTTCACTCACTCACCTTTTGCGTCCCCCAAGGCACCAAGATGGGACCACTATAATTCCTCATTCTGGTCAAGGATGCCCTGAAAGATACTCCCTGTTGCTGGAAATACGTCGACGAGTTCAACGTTGGGATTAATGTGAACAACTTGGTTCCCGACTACAGAGCCATCCAGAATATATTGACCAGTTTCCAAAATTGGGCCACCAACAGCCATGTGACCATCAATCATACCAAGACCATGGTTATGCATATCAACCTCTCCTCCGACCTTGTTCCACCTTCCTCCATTACTTTGGGCCCCAACACACTCCAGGTTGTGGACTCCACCAAGCTCCTCGGCACCACTATAAATAACTAAATTGGAAAGCACACGTCAATGCAATTGTCAAATCTTCCAACTTTCATCTCCATATTATGTCATCTCAAGCACCCTAGAGTTTCCACACCTGAGCTCTTCAGTGCCTACTCAATAGTCATCGTTCTTAAGCTCACCTAAACTTCCTCTGCTTGGTCTTCCTCCTTAAATGCCACACAGCGAGGACTAGTAGAAAGGGTGCAGAAGAGGGTGTGCAAAACTCTTCTCTCCCCCACAAACACGAAGGCTCATAACTCCTAAAAGGCTATTTGAATCAGTATTAAATTTAGACAGGCATTAGGTCTAACAAAGTTAAACATGTACATGAAGTTACAGCTCTCTGCTACTGTTAGTTTCAGAGATTGATTTATAGGAAATGCCCTCACCAAAAGTCAACATCGCCCTACACCATATATCTTTTGGGGCTCAGTACACTGACCCTCTCGGCTCTCTCTGATAATCACCATGACCTCATTTGCAAGTTTGGGAAGAAGCTCCTGCACCATTTTAACAATAATAAATAATAATAATTAACGGTTTATTGAAAGAGCATGGCAGCCAGATGGCTGAAAATATACAGTTACATAATTAATTGGGGAATGGGTCTCTTGATTTACAAATAATATACAAACAAGTAACATAAGTGATACAAATATGATATATAATAACTAGGTGGGGAGAAGCTCAAACTGCAGGGCATTTCAACATAGTGACAGTGTAAAAAGTAAGATTGACTGGGAGTGAATACACTGGTTGATTACAAGTTATTGATAATTTTTACAATGGTTGGGACTGGATGGGCTGGATGCGGTTGTGATGTCGAACAGCAATTCTCTGGCGAGGGATCTCAGGTGGTAGTAGGAGCCGGTGTCGAGGATGGCGCAAAAGCTTCTCGACACCATCTCCTGCTCCCACCCTATATCCCTCGACCCCGAATTGCTGTTCGATATACAACCGCATCTAGCCCATACTAGCACGTACTGATCACTACAAGAGGAGCCCAATTTCAACCATTGAGAAAATTATTAACAACTCGTAGTTAACCTGTGTGTTCACTCCCTGCCAATCCTATTTTGTTCGGTTACTGTGTTGAAATTCCATGTTAAATGACCCTCTCCCCTTTGTCATTATATATTATATATGTACCACTCATGTCACTTGTATATTAATTGTCAATCAAATAACCGACTCCCCAATTATGTAACTTTTATCATCTCTGTTTATGGTATATTTTTAGCCTTTGACTATCATGTTCTTTCAATAAACCGTTAATTATTATTATTATTATTATTATTATTATTATTATTATTATTATTATTATTACGTACTCTCTCTCTCTCTCTCTCTCTCTCTCTCTCTCTCTCTCTCATTCATCTCACATGTGCAGTCTACAAAATCAAATCTTAAGTCTTTAGTTTTTTTTACTTGTTTTAAATTAACAATAGACTGTATTCGTATTCGTAGATGGGGAAAATAGCTTTGTATACTGTGTGTTGAAGTTGAGGATATGTGGATATTTGTACGTGTTGCCTTACCGCTGTCTTGTCACTTTATATAGTTATTGCATCACCTTCACCTTCTTCTTCCTGTGAGTAGTGGTTTTTAAATCTACCTCAAAACTGCATTAATCGCGACCTTTTATTTGGATATAGTTAAAAACATTGGAACACCTGAAGGTTACCCCGAGCTTATTTCTCCTGATGATTAAACACCCTAACGCTACCTGGGGTGGTGGGGGTAGACTAGGTGAGATATAGTTAGATTTGGTTTGGTTATGTTTTGTTTGATTAATTTGGTGAAGTTAGGTTGTAGGTTAGGTTAGCTTGGATTAGCGTTAGGGTGGTTATGTTAGGTTTAAGCTAGGTTAGATTAGGTAAGGTTATGTGAGGTAGGTCAAGTTAGGTTATGTTTCGTTAGGTTAGGTTACGTGAGGTTAGGGTGGTTAAACTTAAGGTGATATAAGCTGGTAGGGAACTAATCTTCAAGTGATGCAAAATATGTGTTAGAGACATAATATTAGTGAATGTGTAAGCACAGGTGACAGTATTTCCCAGCCTGAAGAAGCATTACAATAAGTGATATATTTTAGGTATTATAAGTGATGTATTTAAGGTGTATTATAAGATAGAGTCTTGACGTTTTTGTCCAAGTCGACTTTCGGATTCTTAGCTCTCGTTGGAATCAGGTATCATGACCGTGCTGATAGACTGGCCAATGAGGCATGTAAGAAAGAAAATGTTGACCGTGACCTTGGCCTGTCCAATGCTGTAATTAAAAACATTCAAATCAGAATCATGAACTCTGATCTTGAAGAAGTGAGAAATGCAGAGAGACCTGACAGTTGTAGCATTAGTAAATATGACAAATTTTGTGACAAGAGGTACCGGTATGGCCAGCATAAGGACAGAACCAGACAATGTGATGTAGTCGTGGCCAGAAGCTTCACGAGATCTTGTTGATGTCATACAGCCTTTTAATTTTATGCGTGGATGTTTGAAAAACTTAATAAAGCTCAAATTATTATTGTTTGATGTTTCATATAATAATATACACGTCAAAAATCTTAATCATATACAAGTGTCTCGGATTCGATTCCTCATTTATGGAACTCTTAAAGTTTCTCTTCATCAAATTTGGAAATCCTAAAGGCTCATACAACTGACTACGTATGATAAAATGTTCATACAGTAAAGATTCAGATATCTGTAGGTGAATTCCTAAATAAGACCGCTTCATTTAATCAAAATTCGGATGTTTTTGAATACCTCAAAGATTCATATAATAAAGATTTAGGTCTTTGGACATCCCCAGAGGTTCATATAACCGAATACGTATCACCTGAAGCTTCATTTAATCAAAATTTGGATGTTCCGAATCTCTGAGTAATCAAATGCAGACGTCTCGAGGCTTCATAAGACCGAACAAGATGGTATACAAAAGTTGCATCAAACAGGAGTAAATTTGCATACACCTGTACCTCATTTGCATAGACACGGGCCCGCCACCTGTATCTTACCCTGATTGGCTGCTGTCACTGTTTCAACCTGATTGGCTGCTGTCGGTGTTTCACCCTGATTGGCTGCTGTCGGTGTTTCGCCCTGATTAGCTGATGTCGCTGTTTCAACCTGATTGGCCTGCTGTCGGTGTTTCACTCTGATTGGCTGCTGTCGGTGTTTCGCCCTGATTGGCTGATGTCGCTGTTTCACCGTGATTGGCTGCTGTCATTGTTTCGCCCTGATTGGCTGCTGTCGGTGTTTCACTTTAATTGGCTGATGTTCCTGGTTCACCCCGATTGGCTGCTGTCGCTGTTTCAACCTGATTGGCAACCGTCCTTATTTCACTCTGATTGGCTGTTGTCTCTTTGTGTCAGTCTGATTGACTGTCTTCGCCGTGTGGTCATACGCCGATTGGCTCCTTCCGTCGTCTTCCATTGGCCACCGTCACCATGCGTCTCCCTGGTAGGATGCCTTCTCTGTGTTTCGCCCTGATTGGCTAGTTGTCTTCGCCACGTCACCCCATGAATGGCTGCTCTTGCTGCCTCTCAACCCTGATTGGCTCCCGTGGCTGAGTGGCAGCTAGCAGTACGTATTCCAAGACAAACTTAAACGCGAGACGCTAACGGGCGCAGTGTTGTTAACGCCAGTTATTCAGGGAGTGTTGCCAGAGTGTCGACCAAGTGAAGATATTCCGATGGTTTCCTGTTCCTTTACTTTATAGCCGAGAGATGATAATAACTTTGGTGGTGTAGTTAAAAGTACTGCTGTATGATGCTAATATTCTGTATGCTTGAGGAATCACGTTAAGATTAGGCGCCCCATTTATCACCTGATGGTACCCGGGGATTTAGCAAGTTAGATAAAAGAATATTATACAAGTTGATTTTTTTATTCGAGAACCCTAAATTATTCCCATACATCAAAAACTCTATCAATTAGGAACCCAAAGTTTTGTGTAAATGTAGTCCAATGGTGCAGAGAGACGTGACATGTTCCCTATAGTTATCAGGTATCACGTGACTCGACAGTGGCGTTTAATGGTTTTCACTCAGTCACGTCATGGCGCTCTCTGTGTTTGTCGTGTTGTGTTTGTGTGTTGTGAGCGCGCAATACACACACACACACACACACACACACACACACACACACACACACACACACACACACACACACACACACACACACACACACTACAAAGGTCATGATAAAGTTGACATTTGAAATATTTGTCGGCCTCTAAATGTTAAAACCTGTTGATGGGTGTTTGATGCTCCGTCTGTTTGTGTGTTATGCATCTGTTTTATTGTCGTGTGTGTACCTGTGTTTGTTGTTGTTATTGTTTGAAATTCTCTGTGTGTGTTTGTTTTTGTATGTTTTTCATTTGACAATATGTTCCTTTGCATGTGTATGTACGTACGATATATATATGTGTGTGTGTGTGTGTGTGTGTGTGTGTGTGTGTGTGTGTGTGCTGAGATTCTTTGATGTGCTCGCTTGTGTAGTTATTGTTAACCTGTTTATGCCTTTGTGTATGGATCAACTTGTCTGTTTGTTGTATCTGCGTCAGTGTATTTACGTGTTTGTTTATGTATATGTGTGTTTTTGCTTTTGTGTGTTTTTTTGTGTTTGTAGGTTTGTATGTATTTTCGTGTGCATGTTTGTGTATATGGTTCTATGTGCTTTCGTATATTTGTATGTTTTTATGTGTTCGTGTGTATGTTTATGTGTGACTAGTGTGACTACGGTGTGTTAATGCGCTAATGCATATGTACTTATGTGTGTATGTATATAATTGTGTATTGGAACTACAAATAAGAGCTAGCAGGTACAGATGCACTTAAGACAGTTCTATATTGATAAAAACCAGCCCTAAAAAGTTCGAAATCAGTAAAGATCGACCCTAAAAATGTTCCAACTCGATGCTCACACCTGGGAGACGATCACCCCTGCACCGTGAAGCGTGGAGAAGTAGGTTGCCGCACGAGTGGGTGGTGAAGCCCTCGAGGTTGATTGACTGATTACACGCCGAGGCGGACAAGCACCCCTGCAGAGCCGGAATGAGGCTACCACCGCCCCTCCCGCACTAGATGTAACCCTCCACACATGAAACTTCTGCAGACAACCCTGCCGATCCTGTATTGACCTCTCGAGCGACCTCAGTGCTCACCAACGAAAATGACACTATTCACTGTCATTTTGTCATTGTTGGATAATCGTCATACTCGACTCTGACTGACAGCAGAGAGAGAGAGAGAGAGAGAGAGAGAGAGAGAGAGAGAGAGAGACGTATATGTGTTTGTGCGTGTGCCCCGTCATCACCGCTTCATCAAGGCCCTCATATGAGTGTGACGATGGGTGCAGGAGAATGACGGCGGATGATCGAGTTTCAAACAATTTATGATCATTCAGAAGCACCAACAGCTGCACCATGTTGAGGATGAGGCTGTGACGCATCACTGTGCTAGGAAGAGGAAGTCGAGTTGTTTCAATGAGTAGCTAAAAGGAAATGTGACGTCACTTTGAAATTTGAGCAATAAAGAACTGTCAGCTGATGTAATACGAGGATATCTGAGGGACGACTGTAGTTAGTTTAACACAGCAGACTCAGAGCGATGTAAGAGATGAGTGGTGTTGGTATATGTATAAACAAGTGAAGCCTCGTCAGGGTGTAGACATATTACCAGCGACAGAAGAACCAATCACACTTACAATGTAGGTGTAGAAACACTCCCAGTGCTCAAGTTCATCTAAATCTTGGATAATGATCTGGTGATAAAGGTACAACTCTCCTCCAGTACTGTTGATCCAGTGTGATAGTGTGTTCCCGTGAGGCAGGTGACCAACACTACAACAACACACACTTAGAGCAAGATGACACTAATGACTGGTAACTAGACTATATCACACTCTCAGGCATCGTTAAGCTGTGATCAACAAGTTTTAAGGCAGTATAAGACATTTATAAAGTTATATACTGTAAT